GCTAAAGTCGGCGAATTATTAATCTCTTCTCCAAGAGGAATCGGCTTTCCAATTAACCCTAGCCCTACCTTGACACACCATAACTCATTTTGAATTTTCACTCAGCCGCTGCAAATCCCGCCATGGCATTCTTCCGTCGCCCACCATCCCGTTCCAGAAAAACTTCGTAGCTTACCTTGAGTCAGTGACCTCCGCCAAATCGCTCGCCCTCCTCGTCCGTGCTCAGAAGTTTACCTTTGATTCTCATCTCTGTCCTCAGTTGCCAGTTCACCGCCGGGTCTCGTCCACTTGTTCGCGGTCCTCAGTTCACCTCCTCACGCCTGTCCTCGTCGGCGCTCCTCATTGTCCGTGCTCGTCGTCTGCATCTGGTACTGGTAGTAAATTGTCCAGTAGAACTTTGTGAAAGTAGTTCATGTTATTGTTCATTTGACTGTCTTCATGTTATTTTTCATTTAATTGTTCATATATTAGATGTTTGTGAAATTAGTTTGCTAAGCTGAGGAGTTCTTTTTCTATTCTTTGATTTTCTAATTTTCTAGGGAGTCAGATGAAAATCTTTGTCTTGTTTGTTGAGATTTTAGGTCTATTTCCCTTATTCGACTTGCTAAGTTTTTTAAAGATTCACATGGTAACAGCAGACTGAAACCTGATTGATAATTTCAGTTTTGGGTGTCTTAATAGTGATATTCATAGGCAAAGAGTCTTCGAGAATTGTGCTATAAACTTGTTCCCATCAAAGTCCATTTCAGTAACGAAACTATATGATAGGTCCTTATTGGTGAATTATGAATTTTGTGAATTATGAATTTTGTGGGGAATGACTGTTGAGTATTTGAGTGGTCCACATTGGTAGTTTTAGAACACATAACTTTCTAACATATGACCGCCATTTTGATCAGTTGTAATCCATTCAAGTCATAGCCCACAAGCAATCTGCCAGCCAGACCCCCTTCATTACAACTCGCCTACCACTGAAAGCCCAGATCATCGATCTCAAAAGTGTAAGCGGAAGATTTATCAGCGGCCTGAATATCCGAGAAGGCCTCGAGTAAGACATTCTGATCGTGAAGTGTGAAATGTTGCTGAATGAATATATTCATCTCGTTAATCTCTTTATCAGTAACTTGAGACCTCCAACTGGTAATAGCACCTTCCGCTCGGATGCCATGTATACTGTTGTTCTTTGTGTCTTCCTAAAAGATTTTTCACGTTGTTTTTAGCATTTTATTCAGTTTTGTAACCACTTTTTGTCTACTTTCAGTCTGCCATCAGCCCCACCACCCTCACAACACCACCTATGGTATCACATCCCATTGGCAGTCTTCCCCTATCCCAGTGGCCCCCTCCCTGCCCTCATCGGCCTTTTCCCTTCCCTCGCCCATTTCTCTACCCTGACACCTGGCATCGTTGGCCATTTCTCAGCCAGCGCGAGCATGACCCCTGCCCTCGGCGGCCATTCCTCTACAATCAACCAGACCCTTGCTCTCATTAACCCTCCCCCTATCCTTTCGGGCTCGGACTTGGACCCTGACTCCGCGGATCCGCCCCCCGCCTGGAGTTCATACTTCATTACTTGGTGAGTGTAGCCATGAAAGTTGCTTCTGATCCCAAATAAAAAAAATGTAAATTGGGTGAGAAGAGATTTCGCGCGGTTTGGTTCCCATGGCATCAAATTTCCCACCCAATTTACATTTTTTTTTATTTGGGTCAGAATCAACTATCATGGCTACACTCACCAAGTAATGAAGTATGTACTCCCGGTGGGGGCGGATCCGCGGAGTCGGGGCCCGAGTCCGAGCCCGAAAGGAGAGGGAGAGGGTTAATGAGTCTGGTGAATTGTAGAGGATTGACCGCCGAGGGCAGGGGTCATGCTCGCGCTGGCTGAGAAATGGCCAACGATGCCAGGTGTCAGGGTAGAGAAATAGGCGAGGGCAGGGAGGGGGCCACCAGGGTAGGGGAAGACTGCCAATGGGATGGGATACCATAGGTGGGGCTGTGAGAGGGGTGGGGCTGATGACAGACTGAAAGTAGACAAAAAGTGGTTACAAAACTGAATAAGATGCTAAAAACCAAAGTGAAAAATCTTTTAGGAAGACACAAAGAACAACAGTATACGTGACATCCGAGCGGAAGGTGCTATTGCCAGTTGGAGGTCTCAAGTTACTGATAAGGAGATTAACGAGATGGATATATTCATTCAGCAGCATTTCACACTTCACGATCAGAATGTCTACTCGAGGCCTTCTCGGATGTTCAGACCGCTGATAATCTTCCGCTTACACTTCGTCGAGCTTCCTTGAGATCAATGGTCTGGGCTTTCACCAAACATGGAGGCAAAACTCTACTGAGCAAAAAGGAGTATTTGAGCGATTGCGCATACCTGTACTCAACTCTAGTAGTCGAGTCCAAGAATCCCAGTAAGTTTTTTTGTTTTTTACATTTTTTTTTTTGCTTACGATTAAAATATTTTTTTGCTAGTGTTGGGTTTTAGGCATAACTGTTGGTACAACATTTCCAGTTTTTAGACCAACATATTTCAGAAGATCCGATTGTACAAGGTGAAGACGTCCTACTATAGAGATGTCGTTTTTCTCGAAGGGTCCGTCATGTTTGATAAAGGAGGAAAAATTCTGAGCCACGCCTCCGATCAAATTCGAGGGCTATCCTCACAGCACATATTTTTGGATACATTGATTCTGTGCAGCACCTATATTTGGATATACTGATTTTGTGCACCACATTTTTTTGGATATGTTAATTTTGCGAAGTCAACACTGTTTTGTAACCGAATTCAGTGCACTCTTATTGTGTTTGTAACTTGTAAATTCGGCTACGAGTTCATGGTATCTTAGTTAGAAGTTAGTGCTATTGAGATTCAAAACTGGAAAAACATCCTCTTTTCTTCCCCAGTATCGAGTGAGTATGCTTGCAATCGAAGTAGAACATTGCTTGATAAATCTTGTGGAATTTTTTTTGCAGAAGATAATAACTGCCTAAATTCAGAACTTTGGCATGCTTGTGCTGGTCCTCTTGTTTCTCTGCCCTCTATTGGCACTCATGTGGTGTATTTTCCTCAGGGTCACAGTGAACAGTTTATTTTTAATTTGACTGCCTCAAAAAATGAAAAAAAAGGTGATTTTCGGCTTCTAGCTAGGAAACAAACTCAAGTTTCATTTCTAAAAATGTAATAATTTTTTTTTTGGTTGTACCGTCAAAGGTTTCTGTATCGACGAACAAGGAAGTCGATGCTCAAATACCGAATTACCCTCCCCACAGCTCATTTGCCAGCTTCATAATGTGACCATGCATGTAAATTAGCATTCTTTTGAAAATTTTCCCACTTTCCTAATTTTCTTGCAGCCTTGTTAAGAAAAACCTGATTGTGTTTTTGTCTTAAAACTAGGCTGACATAGAAACAGATGAGGTTTATGCACAAATGACCTTGCAACCATTGAGCCCAGTATGTTTCTTTCATCTTTATCTATGTTCTTGTTGTTCTTTTTTTTTTTTT